TTTTCATAATCAGTCTATTTCTGCGATACTTGTTTCGGAAAGCTGGTTAAAACCTACCTTACCGTCTACCTCCTTTGGAATACCTGGTTTTGTCCTCTTAAGAAATGATCGTACGGGCAAAAGAGGTGGTGGAGTAGCGGTATACTTACGTAATGGTATACCCTATAAACAATTATGTGCTTCTTCTTCTGTTTATTCTGGTACAATAGAATACATGTTCTTGGAGATTACCATCAGTGGGACTAAGACTGTTCTCGGTGCAATTTACTGTCCACCAGGAGTTAATTATTTTTGTGACCTTGAATCGGCTCTTTTTTCTATCGGCTCTGATTATCAGCACTTTATTATAATGGGAGACTTCAATACCGATATTCTTTGTAACTCTGCGAGGTCACGTGAATTGTATACAGTTATGAACTCCTTTAATTTGTCACTTCTTCCTCTCGACCCCACACACCACAATCTTGATACTGCTGATTCTTTAATAGATTTAATAGTGGTCGCTTCTGAAGACCATGTCGTTGGCCATGGTCAACTCTCCGCCCCTGGGTTTTCGCGGCACGATTTACTGTATATTTCTTACAGGATTAAATGTCCTAAGGTCAATCATGTGATGGTGCATCTGCGTAATCTAGCGAGACTTAATGTTGAAGAACTTCAGCAAGATGCTTGTAGTATAGATTGGAGTGATACTTACAGCGTAGAGAGTGTTGACGAAAAAGTAGCTCTTTTTAATTCAAATATACAGAAGTTGTTTGATAAACACGCTCCTCCACATAAAGTCAGACTGAAACGATCTCCTGCGCCGTGGATTACTGAGGATATCCGCAGGGCTATGGCAAAGCGAGATCGAGAATTTAGTAAATATAAGAGTAATCGGTGTACTGTTAACTGGACTCGATTCAAAGCCGCTAGGAATCGGTGTAATCAGATGGTGCGGGCCGCTAAACGCCGTTATATTCATCGAAATATCCTTAACGCTTCTATGGCTGATTCGTGGAAATTTTTAAAATCAATCGGGATAGGTAAACCTGCTTCTAACTTTGATCCTTCAATATTCTCTGTTAATCAACTTAATACATACTTTTCTACTGCACCACAACTGCATTCGTCAATTAAATCTACTACTATTGCCCATGTTAATTCTCTTCCAAAATTTTACAAAAGCTCTTTCAATTTTTCTCCCGTTACTGATGAGGATATAAAAAAGTCAATTTCTTCCATCAAGTCCGCCGCAGTAGGCTCTGATGATGTGAGCAGAATCATGATCAATCTCATCCTTGATTATGTCTTACCAGTACTTACCCACATAGTAAATTTTTCATTAGATACTGGGGTTTTCCCTTCACTATGGCGAAATGCTTTTGTTCTCCCACTTCCAAAAATAAATAATCCTAGTTCTGTTTCTCACTTTCGTCCTATCTCTATTCTACCTTTTTTATCAAAAGTACTTGAAGCTGTTGCTCACAGACAAATTTCTGACTACGTTTTTAAAAATAACTTTTTAAGTAGCTATCAATCAGGTTTCAGGCCAGGACATAGTACAACAACAGCCCTGCTTAAAGTTACGGAAGATTTACGTATAGGTATGGAGGAGTCAAAATTAATTGTGTTAGTTTTAATAGATTTCTCAAACGCTTTTAATGCTGTTGATCATGACATCCTTCTTACAATACTTTCTCACATTGGTTTCTCCTCATCAGCGCGGGAATGGTTCGCATCCTATCTTCAGGGACGTCAGCAGGCTGTTCGCGTGGGTCCAGTTATTTCTGACTGGTGCACGCTGGTTGCTGGCGTTCCTCAAGGCGGAATTCTCTCACCTCTTTTGTTTTCAATTTTTATAAATCTCATTACATCTCACATTCGCTGCACGTACCATCTCTATGCCGATGACTTACAAATATATGCTCAGTCTGATGTTAACGATATCGAAGATGCGATCACTGAGCTAAACTCTGACCTCACTCGTATCTCTGATTGGTCTAGCAAATTCGGTATTACTGTTAACCCTACCAAGTGCCAGGCAATTATAGTTGGAAGTAGCCGTCGCTTATCTACATTGGATTTTAATTCACTGCCACCTGTAAATTTTAATAATGCTGTCATACCTTATTCAGCTACTGTGAAAAATCTAGGACTTATCATTGACAGCAGTCTGAGTTGGCGGCCGCAAGTCACGGAAGTAAGCAAAAAAGTTATCAACACCTTGCGTTGTCTGTATCGACTCAAGAATTTTCTTCCAGTGAGAACAAAGGTAATGTTGGTTCAAACGCTCGTATTACCAATACTAGATTATGCAGATGTATGCTATGCTGATGCCTCTCAAGAACTTCTTAACAAACTGGATCGTCTTCTCAATAATTGTATTCGCTTTATCTTTGGCTTACGTAAATTCGATCACGTCTCTTCATTCCGTTCTCAGCTCAAATGGCTGCCTCTTCCACTTCGTAGATCTTTTAGAATCCTTTCTATGCTATTCTCTATTTTACACGATCCGTTTGTCCCTGCATATCTGAAATGCAAATTTCAGTATCAGGGCGATTCTCACCAACCGATGTCTTCGTTCCGCGGAAAATCTAACTCTTCATGTTCCTTTCTGTCGCACGGGCTTCTCTTACAATTCTTTCACTTCAAATGCAGTAAGACTCTGGAACATGTTACCCAGAAATATAAAAGAAGCAAAAACTAAACCTATCTTTAAACGTTTACTCTGGGAATATTACTTAAAGAAGCAGTAGTAGTTTCGGATTATAATAAAAAATTTAAAAACTTCAGAAACTGTTATATTCTCAAGTATGTATAGTATAAAAATATCATATTTATTTATTGTGTATGTATTTATTGTGGGTATTTGTGTATATATATAAAATAATATTGTATGCATGTAAGTAGTAATGTAAATGTATATGTATGTGTATTGTTTATTATCATTATATTATAAATTTGTATTTTTTCCTTAAACCTTTAATTTTTTTTTAATTATGAGTTTTGCACCCATCACTAGATTCTCTGCACAAACCAAAGGTAGACTGGTAGAGAATGCCTTTAGGCATTAAGTCCGCCGTTTTGTACATTTCTTTTATGTGTGCAAATAAAGCTTAAATAAATAAATAAATAAACACCAGGTTCCTGCTCAGGTTGTGGGTCTTCCAATAGAGGAGGATCCTCTTGAGCGGGATCAGGACCTGGACCTTCTTGTTCCATGGTAGGACTTTCTTCATCTTCTTCTCGTTCATCTTCAAGAATCCGTACCAGATCCGCTCGGTCCCTGTAAGTCTTGCACCTCCTCATCATTTTCCTCGCTTTCATCTTCTTCAGCACCATCTTCTGACTCATTTCCATCTAAGTAAGCTATGTAGGCGCTTATTTGGTCATCACTACCAGTCAACCTGCGATTAGCCATCTGAAACATCAATTTTAGTACTAAATGCATAATGTAGGATACGGCCTACACAAAGAAAAATTGAAGTTGTAGTGGTTATTCTGATTGGAAATGCGATTTCTACTAACTCGCCTCAATATTCACTGTATCTTCAAACGAAATACAAATAAAATAGTATCACTTAACCTGAAAAATCCAACAAAATCTGTTTACACATTAACTTCGCCAACAAAATTTTTCTAACCGGTCCTCACCAAAAAATTTTCAGCTGTCAATTTTAAATTCAAATGACATTTATGTTTTGCCAACATGACAATAGAAAAACTAGTATGTCACCGACACAATACAACGAGATTTGTTTTTTTTAGGCAAAGGCTTACAGCCATCAGAATATTACGTAGGCTGCATCCAACACTATGAATTTAAGGGAGACAGTTTCGGTCGCGAAAGGTAGGGTGAGCGGCGTAAATAATTCACTCCTCTTCCCATACGATTTCACCACTGCTTCCATGGTTAGGGGAGAGGGCGCCCCTCTTGCCGCAGTCCACCAACACACATCTGTAGTGGGCTAGCCAAATACATACGGAGTTTCCACTTAGAGCGAACTCTTTACATCGGGCCAGGAATGTCTATTCCTCTTAGTTCGACATGGGTAACCAAGCCACGGTTAAAGACGTTGGTCTTGCGCCTTATCTCATTCCCGTCGTGGCGATCGTCCCATCGGACTATGAGAGTAAGGGAAAAAAGAGTTCTAGGTGCCACTCTTTACTTGTTTGAGCATACACTCGGGCACTACAATTCAATCCCGCGTAGAAGGCTAGTTTTCGTTGAGACCTCGATCAGTTAATAATCTCGATTAGTGAAACTACACAATATAACATCAATAATCTCTTGTTGTTCTGTTCGTACGCTATTGTGGCGCTATGATAGTGCCGTCGTGAACTGATATCGGAGATATTGCGCTAAATAAATACAGACAAACAAATACGTATGTGCCGTTGTAGTGAGTACCTCCTCCATGTTTTTGAAATTACTAAAGTTAAAATTGCTCCAAACGTCATTCCTATATTAAACATTGATAAATTTAGTGTCTATTGACATTGTCGAAAGCAAGGCGATACCTAATATTTTAAAATCTGTCCACAGTCTAATATCAAGTAATAAAATGTACTCTAGAATCCGTACTTCTTCGGTCTTTTAAATTATGGTTTAAAAAATCTTTAAAATATTATGTATTAATACATATACTTAAAAAATATTACTGAAACATTTTTATTTACTTCATACAAGCCGGCGCTTGAAGATAGTCAAGTGTTAACTATTAAGAGGTTGTATATGGTGATGGAGCCCTAGATGGTTACTAGCACTATTTTATAGCGTAACAAAAGGCCACCCCGAAGTATTAATTTTTTAATTAAAAAAATGATTATTGATAAAGATGTCGCGTGAATTAAACACAAAAACTTACACTCGAATTGAAAACCTTCTTTTCTGAAGTCGGTTTAAAAAGAGGACTACTAATAATAATATAATAAATTTATTATTTAACAAATACATAAATTATATTTATTAACAACTATTTAATTCGTTGTTGTCGTGTTCTGATATGTTGTATTTTTTAGTTAAGGGTTTCCGGAAGAACGATCGCTGGTGCAGGGATAGCGGCTTCTTCGACGACGATGACGGGCTCGGGGATAATAGGCTTGTCCACGACGATGACGGGCTCGGGGACAATGGGCTTGTCCACGACGATGATGGGCTCGGGGACAATAGGCTTGTCCACGACGATGACGGGCACGGGGACGATAGGCTCGGCATTCACAGCTTCATCCACAACCTGAACAGGGGTAGGAGCGGGAGACTGAACGGTCTCAACGGAGACTGGAGAGCCAACAACGTCAGACGCAGATTGGATGTTCAAGATGATCTGCACAAGGGGAGCGCTGGCCGAGGATTCAACAGGAGCGGGCATGACAGGGGTGGGGTTGACATCAGCCACGGCACCACCGTCCGGCAAGGGAAAGTCTACGACAGCGGGTCCGATGACAATAGGCTCATGGTTGTCAACGATGGCTGGTCCGATGGCAATAGGCTCATAGTTGTCCACGATGGCTGGTCCAACATCAATAGGTTCGGGCTTGGCAATGCCGAGGACATCCAGGAGCATTTGTTCAAGAGCAGCGGCGGTAGCGGGGTCGGTGCTGGGGCTCTGGATAGCAGCCACGATCTCTTGAATCTCAGGATTGTTGCTGGCAATGACTGCGGCAGGAATGACGCTGGCCGAGGCCACGGCAAGAAAAGCGAAAGCAATGAAGATTTTCATGTTCTGAAAATAAGAATTATATTTAAATAATTTATTTTATAAAAGTAAGGGTGACAAAACTAACGATCGCACCACCTTATAATTAATAAACTCGGTAGCCTATGAATCTATCTCTGATTAAGTTTCATAATGGAAACGCGCTTCAATATTTGAAATGAAACAATATACATGTATAACTATGTTAATATTAAAACCTCTGATTTTTAGTAAAAATAAATTACTATATACTTACTTGAGTCTGTACCACTCTTAAAAAATATGCCAAAGAACACCGAACATTGGACATTTATACCAAAATTATTTATCTCTAACTCTAATTTAATCTCATTGGGAAAGATTACATGCAAATTTCCGGGATTATCTGTTACTAAGTATTTTAGGTCTATAAATTAACTAATAGATAAAATATTTGATGAATACAAATATCAATTAAACGACGAATCATGTGACTCTAGAAATATAGAGGAATATCTAATGGGCTCATATTTTAATAACATTAGGGTTTCAAACGAGTTAACAGTTCACCTGGTAAATTGCCATTGTAACCAATACACCCACGCAACTTAAAGCAATGTATGGTCATAATCTACGCGTTGCTAACCTTGTAGGCTACCAAGAATTTCCTCACAGCTCGTAATTTTTTCCAGCTCTCTTATTATTCAATTCGGAACACAGCAGTTTGTGCACTACGGCTTAGTCGCGACTATAGACAAGGTAATAGATGTGAGACTGACTCCTACTAATTGAACAAGTTAAGACTAATATATTTTTATATTGGGGAAGGGTTAAGCTTCGCCGATTCCACTGTTTTTCTTGGTATTATTCTTGCTGTGTCGTAGTATTCACAAAAACAAATGCTGTTTTAATTAAAAAATAATTAAAAAAAATTCAATGGTGACTTTATTAGTCTTGGGCGTCTCTAAGTAGTGTCACGAGCTACACTTATTAAAAAATATCGAGGTTTCGAGTGATTTGTAGCACTCATTATTACGGGAGCATTGAGTTGTTTGCTGTCCTGATGTAGTGTATGTAGCTATCCCGGTCACGGTTTAGGGCTACATCAGAAATTACCATCAGATGTATTAGATACCATAAGAAGTGGGATTGCGGTTAGGCACTGGCTGATTAATGGCTATGTATACGCTTTTACAACAAAGTCTCAGAAAATACCTATACAAGTTCCAACAATCATTAAGTATCTGCAAGATAAGTCGCCAAGTCGAGCAAAAAAGCTGAACGGCCGTACCATTCTTTTCTCGAAGCAATTCAGGCCATTTTCGACCCCCTATAACTTCGTAGTGGATAAAACTAGAAGCCTGATTTTGTACACATAACATTGTATATACATGGCATATTTCAAATTTCATTCAATTTTAACGAGTAGTTTAAGAATTATAACTAGGCAAAGTTTCTTAATGTTGTCACTCACTGACTGACCGATCATCAAAACTATAAGACACTTCTAGCAGACATAGAAGCTTCAAATTCAGAACACAATTAGTTTTTAGTGTATAAATCAAGGAAAAACTAAAATATTTTTTAATTTCAGTCCAGTTTTCTAGATACACCATCTGCATAAATAACATTGTAATCCTATATAAATATATTGAATTACAAAGTTACATTTGCAGTGAATGAATCAGTGTACCTGTATATGTATAATAGGTGTAGAAAGTTACGTTGTTGGTATTCAAATAGAAGGTACCGGAAAGGTAAAAAGTAGGACTTTCTTATTTACAAAAAGAAATGAGATACCATCAAAAACTTATAAAAAAACCAAGTCTCGTAACTCAGTTCTTCTACCGTAAAAGTTGTGAGATCCATGTAACACAAAGTCGGTTAATTTATTCAGTCCCTACTTAAGGATCCTTCTTAATTAAGATATTACGTAATTAGCTAACCTAACAACATTTTATATTGACCATATAAATGTTAAAAATCTTTTATATTTTAAATATACTATAGATTGACTTGGCCATCGCACTAAGCAATCTAATTTAATATAATATCACAGATTATTGTGAGATACATTGTGTTTTCATGCGTCACACAATTGGAAACATGGATCTCACAATTTTTTACGGTAGAAGAAATGAGTTGCGAGACTTGTTTTTTACAAGTTATGTTTTTGATGGCATATTCTTTTATCGAACAATGACTGTATAGGTAAAAATGGTTATTTTATTAATGGATGGTTGGGATAGTTGTGATTGCTTGCCTCTAAGGCAAGAACTATACTAACTAACTCTAGAACACATCTACAATAAATATTATATTTAATATTAGATACAACCTAGGTATGTATTTCATGGTAAAATGCTACTTTCTTAATTAAAAGTAAAAAGTTATACACATAAAAAAAGTTTGCGATCAGTTTGAAAAATCAAAATCTTATGTGTTACGGTAGACTATATTCAATTTTTTTTTCAGATTCTTTATTCAAATATATAGAATTAGAATTTAAATAATAAAAGAAATTCAAAGATTTTCCATATAAGAATAAATTCAACACAAGCGAATTTCTTCTTTCTTCTGAGAAGAAATTTAACGTTCATTCAGAAATTCATAGACTTAAAATATTCTGGCGTATATAGACGACATGACACCCCGAAAACGCATGACGAATTTTGGGTATGTTCCGAAATGTTTCCAGCATTCTTGCGAATGCAAATGACGTCATTAACTGACGCTATACCTATTGTGCTTAGTCGCTGCCATATTGTACCGGATATCCCGCTGAAAAGGAACCAGCGAGGGGATTAAGAAACAGAAGGGAGGAATCGAGGCTTCTCTCGATCCGGCCTCCTATAACGCCTACGTTGGGTTCGGGAACAACGTATGTGATCTCCGCAACGGAGTAACACACAAGGGCGATAACCTCTTCCTTTTCAGCGAGTAGGTTCAGACGGGGATTACGGGTCTTCCGAAGTCGTCCCGGTCCCAACGCCTTAATTCTTCGATGTGGACTGTATAACTTGAGGGATGAATTTCTTGGGAATAAAACAGCAATTATCTTCAAACCGTTCCGTGAGAGAGTAATTACTTTTCCCTATCACTTCCCCTACACTTTTTCTTTCTTCTTCTTATTGACTGCTGGTCTGATTTCCGAACTTTTTCCCCGAACGATTTCCGAAGGATTCCCGAACTTCCCCGAACTTCTTTCCCGAACTATCTCGAAGGATTCCCGAACTTCCCCGAACGAATTGCAATAAAACTCATTTACTAAGCTACCCCAGAGCTATACGTCAAAGTGAGCCGCGCCATTCGCGCGCTTGCGCAACTCAATTACATGAATTTGTTCTATTACTCTTTCACGTTTTACTTAATTTCTTTATTTGCTTAAGTCTTACATCAATACAATTTATCTGTATAGATAGCACAAAACAATATCTACACTACGATATACATTACATTTTCATATCACGAAAAACCTTTTATTTATTAAATGAAATATGCCTATTTTACTCACAAGTTTAAACTCGAAATTTCTTAAATATTTAACATAGAAAGTTAAAACAATGTTTTCCACTTGAAATTATACATATGTTAACTAATACAATAGTTTAATTTACATTTTCTCTATTTATTTCACTATTAAAACACTTTTAAATTTCTTATACAAAACTATCATTATTTCACTTATACACAGGAATTTTCACACAGAATTCACCTTTTTAGCACGTACAATCAACCTGAAATGTTTTACAAGTCATTTTTACATAAATTGCTGAAATTACAAATATTTAAATTTTTACATATTTGGCCTCCTAAGTACGTGGCTAGCGTACGTCTATGAACTCACACTATTTGAACAACTAACTTTTGCACGGCTCTCGGCTATCAGAAAAAATGAAAATCTGATATACACCAATTTTAACAATATTGGGTGAATAAATGCATCTACACAATTTTCAAACTGTAGGAAACTATTTCTAATCAGATTCTTATCAGTTATCATGTTTCTTATCAGATAACAATATAAGTGAATGTTCTCATAAATCAATCATGGCAAATAGGCATTTGTTTTCGTACAAAACATATCAAACTTATATAAGACAATACTTATGCGATTAATTTCCGTTAATTCTATTTATGCACAGAGTGATCATCTCGACCGGGGAACAAATCCGATCTCTAACTTCACTTTAATATTCCTTTGAATTTACATCATTGGAAAGATGATTTCAACCGGGGAAACAATCCAGTAACATAATTTATATCTTAAATTCCTTATGAATTTATTAAGCGATATTACTTAGGAAAACAAATAAACTAGTCCGGCCTGGGAGTCGAACCCACCTTCATATCATTAATTCGATATTTCTTTAAGATTTAACTAAGCATTTTCTTATCAGAACATTGTTGCTCGATAATTTGTTTTTTAGAAGCTATTCGTCATCGGTTGACTTAATAAACTGAAATACTCTTATAGGCGCGTCGCCAATAATCTCCCCCCCGTGCGTAAGCACCATTATTTGGGAGGCGTCGCGTGTACCAGGACTATTATTCTGGATGTAGGTCTCCTCAAGATACCTGTGCTAGTAATGACGTCAACCACTCTGGTGTGACCGTCTGGTCCCGGTAGCGTTCTACTAATTTTGCCTTTCGGCCACGTATTTCGTGGCAACGAATGATCTATTATCAAAACAATATCACCTTCTTTAGGTTCCATGAACTTTCCGTTATTACCTGTTCGAGGTATTAAAGTAGGCATGTATTCTTTCAGCCATCGTGTCCAAAAATGGTCGGCTAACCTCTGTGCAGCTTTCCAATTGAGTTGACCCGTCAGATGTTGCTCTAAAAATAATCCAGGTGATCGATCACCACATGAGCGTCCCAGAAGAAAATGATTGGGTGTCAAACCCTCTTCAGGACTATCCATACTGAATGTTACCAGAGGCCTGGAATTTACCGTATGCTCTGCTTCTAAAAGCAGCGTATGTAGAACCTCCTCTCGTGGGCTCCATTCTTTGAGCGTAGCGGTCAACGCAATTTTAATC